ATCAGCTTGTTTATATGGTAGGGTGACCAGACGTCCTCTTTTTCCCGGACACGTCCTACTTTTCATGCCTAAAAAAATGTCCGGGGGGGAATTTCAAAATTGTCCAGGATTTTGGTCGAATACAGGAACTGAGCTGTGAGCTCCGCGGCTGGTCAGGGAACCCCGGCGGACGGAGGAAGGGAGCCATCGGGGGACGGAGCAACCAAACCCAACCCCGACGGTAGCCTGGACATCGGCGACCCCAATGCCCAGGCAGGAGGGGGGAAGCGTGGGGCCGCCCCGTGTAATAGGACATGTCTGTGAAAAGAGGACGTCTGGTCCTTTATTTTCTTCCTGCAAACCGCTTCCTGGACATTTCTGTTTATTGTTATTGTTTCTACTTTTCAGTTATTTCAACTGTTATAAGCCCTTTAAAGCCCAGGCGTTGGGAATTAGCCATGGCTAATTTAGTGGCAGCTGGTGGAGTTTTCTCCAAGGGGGGCTTTAAAATAAAAAAAGACGTATACCAAAAAACAATTAAACGTGTACTAATTTATCACACCAGTAGATTTATATGAATGCCAACAAGAAAAAAACATTATAAAAACACTTTATAAAAACATAATTTCATGTACAGGTTTACTTTTTGTACATAAATCTTGCCCTTCTGAGTCTTTGTGAAGGCAAATCTGTGTTATTCATCTTCCAATATTGTGTCACAAATCTAAAAAAAAAAAAGATAAATCTACCAGTTAATAATAGCGAAGCTATTATTCAGCTTTATATTTTTCTAATATCTAAAAACTGTTAGTTTTCTGGGAATGTGTTTATTTAAGAGCAACTATGCAAACCAACAAACATGTAGAAAAAGTACACTATATATTATTTTCCATGTGAATCCCAGATTGTTTTTGCCTTTTCTAAAAAGTGCTTTAAATCAGTCCTACCTGTCATAGAAGTGTTTTTTAGTCTGTCTGTGCAGACTATTTCTACGTCAAATCACTCTGCTCACTTTTAGAAAGAACGCACACTGCAAAAATGATCTAGAAATAAGTGAAATTAAGTGAATTTGCTCATAATTTAAAGCAGGAAAATAAGATCGTTTGCCAATGGAATGACTATTTTTTACTCTTAGAATAAGTTAATTAGATAATATGCACCTGAAATAAGACAATGCAGTTCTTTTTTCTTATTTTAAGTGTAAATTGTCTAGTTTCAGTGGCTAAATGTTTCACTTACCGCATAATTCAAGAAAAAATACACTTTTTTTGAGAAAAAATTTCTTAATTAGATTTACATTTTTTGCAGTGCAAGGAAAAAAAAAAGTGCATCAGCTGCCCGACAGGCTTTTAGAGTGTTAAATTCTGTTTAAAATAACAGATTATAATTAAAAATGTCTCTGGACCTTTACTGGTTATTGATTTTCTTTATTCAGACCCCACTGATTTTTAACTGGTGACCCCTGCAATAAACCAATATAATAAGGTAACTGCTGGAAGCAGGTTTGAATAAACATGAATATCCAAAGCTTTCCTCTAATGATTTATTTATTTATTTTTTTTTTTTTTACTGTACCTTGGCAGGTTTCTATATTTCTTTTTAGTCGATTACAGCTGAACTGCATGTTTTCCATGTGTCTTTGCAGCGCTGGTGCGGGGAGGACGGGCTGTTTCATCGCCGTGGACATCATGCTGGACATGGCAGAAAATGAAGGAGTGGTGGACATTTTCAACTGCATCCGCGAGCTGAGGTCCCAACGGGTCAACATGGTCCAGACAGAGGTAGGAGGGGAGAACGTTTAACCATTCATTACCATGAAGAACACAGTTTAAGCTTTAAATGCAAAGCTGTCAAACTTTTATTCCACCTGTGAGGCGTTAAGGGTTTAAAATTAAGAGAATTAATGGACTCTCAAGAAGGGACAGAAGGACGGAGTATTCAATGCGAGTCAGAAAGTGGGATAATTCAAAGCATTTATTTATTTCAGAAGCTGGATGTGGATCCGAGGTATCAGCTTCTAGCGTGGGGCACCGACCACGGGAAACTCTGGTTGGAGAAAAAAAACTGATTAGTGACCATGATTATATGACGGAGGATGATTATCCATAGGAGTCACTAACCCGGTTAAACAGTTCAGTCCGTCTCCATAGAACAAGGTAGGATCCAGCCGGTGGACCGCCAATTAGATGCGGCGGGCACCACCCAGAGTGTCCCAGATGATGCAACCCCGGAGAGCAGGCAGGAGCCTGAGCAGGGTCAGGCAAACAGATCAGAACAGGAAGGCTCAGAGGCCCAGGAGTCCAGAGCCCAGTCAGGGATTTTTTTGTCTGGCAGTAGCAGCAGGTATACGATAACTTTTCCTATTGTCTGTTCATTCTGCCAACCAACAACGCTGTCAGCTAAGCTAATGTGACCCTGTGATGGTCTGTATCGGCCATCTCCAGCTGTGGGTTTGTTTCGCCCTAGCTAACACCCTGACGTAGCTCTGATGAAAAAAAAAAAAAAAACGGTCTATGAGGACCAAATAGTAATATAACAAAAAAATTACTTCAGCAGCTCAACCATGTTTAAATTCGGGAGAAACGGTTGTTCCAACCATTTCTACCCAATTCTCCCGAATGGTGCACGACTTTACACGAG